GACTTTTCTATTAGCTACAGAACATTTTATTAACTTTACACCTAAGACTTAATTAAGCAATAACTATACATTTTATATTTACATCAGCGAGCCGAAGGTCCTGGYAGCCAGTGCTCCTTTTTTCGTGGAAAAGTAATTGTATTATTGTTTCACGTTTTATAAATAAATAAATAAATAGATACACTAACTGAGATTTTCCCCAGGGATTTTAGGGGATTAAATTATAGATATGTGTGCGCTTCCTTGGGTGATGTTTCGCTTCTGCGCCGGCGTTCCAACTTGTTGACTTATTGCTTTTTTTCGTAGCTCTTTACTTTTGTTTCATTTTGTATGAAGTTTAAGTTGTTTTATATTTATTGAGTATCGCGCCCGTTTTATGTTGTTAGTGGAAATAATGAAAGCGACATGTATGGAATGACTGTGAGGACCCTAAATATGGAAGTAGATCCGTTCAAGCGTGTACCGAGGATAGCCCGATCGCCCAATCAGACGCCAATAATCAGTAAGCCGGTGCGAGCGAGGTTCTCACCACCGGTGTTAGAAGATAACATAACTCAAGCCAAAGTAGCACAGCATCCTGTGGACTAGTACATCTTGGATCTAGTAGGTGATGTAAAAAGACTGACTGAAGCAGTTCGCCCTCCGCAGCGGTCTATAAATAATAATAAAAGGGACATTCTTAGCTCTATAGCAAAGCTATACTCAAAAGCCCTGAGGGAGTACACAAGAATGATAGAAGCGAGACTTAATGTACAGCTCAGGACCGCAACCACGGCAACAACGCCAAAGAGGCCGCGCGAGGAAAATTAGCCTAACCGGAAAACGCCGCCTAAAAGGAATAAAATGATGCGCGAAGAGGCACCAAAAAACCAGCAAGCGGAAAGACACAAAAGAACATCGGGAAATAGCTCTGATAAATGCAGAGAGGAATTAAACAATGTTACCGGCTGGGTAAGCGTCAAGCGGAAGCCACATAGCCACAAGAAGTTTGATCGTAGGCCACCACCACGACCCGATGCTAAACTCATAGCGCGCTTTCTAGATATGGCCTACAGTGATATCCTGATGAAAGTCAGAAAAGAATAAAACCTGCAGAAAACCCTATGGCGCATTAGGAAGACACCAAAAGCTGGAACTCAAAGAAACCCAAATGGAAGAACTACAGTGCGAAATAAACAAGCTATTAGGGGACAAATCAAAGCGCTTACACACGAAGTTATAGTAGAAATTCGGGACCTGGACGAAATCACAACCAAAGAAGACTTTTCGGAAGCTATACGGAAGCAGGTGAAAAAACTAATTCATTTTGATGTGAGTGCAATAAAGAACCCCAGGGCGGCATAGGTGGATACACAGGTAGCGGTAGTAAGCCTCACTGCTCTGGAAGCAATGATACTGCTAGACGAATGAAAAATTTGGATAGGCGATCAGAAAAGTGATAAATGTGGCAAGCAAGGCCATCGAAGGAACGAAGTGGATGTATGGTACGAAAGAATACTGTGCAGTCGTAACGATTGACGTTAAAAACGCGTTAACTTCTGCGTATTTTCCATATATTATATCATGAGCGCTCTTAAATGCAAAAGAACACCAAAGTATTTGTTGAGAATTATCTGCAAATACCAGCAAATAGGCTGTTGCTCTATGATACAGATGAGGAACCAAAAAAGTACAGGGTGACGGGAGGGGTACCACGAGGCTTAGTTCTGGGTCCAATGCTTTGGAACGTGTTATATGAC